TACCTACATGAGTTTAGTCCTTGAATTAAAATGCACAAACACAAACTCTCTTTGTTGAAAACAGGCTTTTAAAAGCATTCCTGGAAAGAAGAGGAGGTTTTTTATTACACAAGAAATGCATTAAATTAATGTATTGCCTTTTTCCCTAGATAATTTGGTCCATTCAGTTGTTACACAAATTCATGTAGGAATTTTGAGCTTTAGTTTTAGTTGGTACTAAAGTAAATTGTGCACAGTAGACTGAAAAAGGAAAAGAAAGTTGAGAGGAAAGCAACAGGCATGGCTGGCACTTCTTGTTACCTTTCAGATCAGGTTCAAGAAGGGTCCACATTTTCACCTTGGAATGTCAGCAGGTCAGGAATCAAGCACTCCTTCCCTGCACGTGCCACTTGGCTCTAACAGGCTGCAACTTATATAGCTCACCTTGGAGCTGGAAGAGACAGCCCCTCTCCACAACTGACCATGACGGGTATCACATAAGCTGAATACAGACCAGAGGTCTGTATTTGGCTACCGGTATAGCTGAACCCGAAAAAGCCATAATTATCTGGCTTTTTTTCCGGGTTCATTTTGCTATACTGAAAAACCTAACAGCCACCTGAGCCGCCAGTCAGCTGTTGGGTTTAAATGCCTTTCTTTCCCTCCCCATGGGGCACCTGGAGAAGATCACACAGGGAACTGAGGCATGTTTGCATGCCTGCACTCAGTCTCCCCAGCTTGCCTGCTATGGCGGGCAGGCTGGGAAAACAGAGGGCAGGCATGCAAACATGCCCTCTTCCTTCCCCGAGCCTCTCCACTTTTGCAGAGAAGCTCAGGGAAGGGGCGGCACATTTAAATGCCTTTCTTTTCTTCCCAGATCTCAGGGAGGGAAAGAAAGGCATTTTAAACATGCCTAGGTTCCCTGCCAGCCCTTCTCCAGCTGCAATCTGTCAACTGGAGAAGGGAAGGCAGAGAAGCAAAGGCTTTCCTGAGTCAATTTCACTCCCAACTGACTGGCAGTGAGTGAAACTGACAGGGAAATCTCTATGGGCTACCAGAGGGAAAGAAGGCATTTTAACATGCCTCCTTTCCCTCTGGTGGTGTAAATCAGACCCGAATATAGCCCCAATCCGAATACCTTACCGGTATTTTACTGGGGAAATTCGGCATTTACCGATATTTTTCAGGTCTGATTTACCCAAAGCTGAAAAATACCGGCATTTTTTTTTCACACCCCTAGCATCTCCTCCCGTGCTGAGTTGGCCAGGGCATCGAAATAGGTTCAACTAGCCTTGCTATAAGACTTACTACTGAGACCTTGCTTTATCCTTTCTACTCTTCCTTCTGCAGCCTTATTACATGAGAAGACATCAGCTTTTCACAAAGATTAGAAAAAACGTGTTGATTTACAACCAGCATGATTGTCATCTGTAAGCACACGAGCTTCTGCTAGAGAGTTTAAGGGAGAACAGGGAGAACTAAAGATAACCCAAACTATACCCACACAGAAAGTACATTACTAATATGGACTAGAACAGATTCTAACAAATCAGTTGGGCACATGAGACAGTCCTCAAGGAACTGTACTGCAGCCATTATGAGTGCAAAGCAAGCACTGTTTGTTTGAAGACAATGATATGACAAGTTCTTCCTGATCACAGCAACAGTGCTCAGATTTGCCATGTGCAAGGTGATGCTGATGGGGGACAGTGATCACCTGCAACTAAAATCCAGTGTTGGATTAGGATCTGGGAGACCTGGGTTTGAATCTCTTAGGGATTTCAGTGTAAAAAGCAGAGTTAATAAATGCAGCAGAACACGTGTATTAGCCTTTAAAAAGAAACTCCACTTTACTAATGAGAGAAGGGTCACTGGGAAGTACTACAAACAAAAACAAAGGATTAACATCCACTCTGACTGTACTAACCTACATCTTGACTCTCTAAAGTCTAAACCACACATGCTATCCCCAGGTGAGGGTTAGAACAAAGCGCAATAAACTTTCTAAGCCTCCACCCCTGGGACATCTTCTGATCTATTGATTACCCAATTGGAGAAACCCAAAACTAACTACTTACACATTTTATCACCTTGCTATGGTGGCAGCTACGTGCATATTGGGTCTCTCACTAAATAGCTAGGGTATCAGCATGCAAAAACAAACATGTAAATTCTTCCATGACTTCAAAGAGAGAACTTGCAAACTCCAACAGAATCCCCACTCTGCCATGGAAGCCTGTCACACTCTCAGCCTAATCTACCTCACAGGGTTGTTGTGAGGATAAATAGAGGAGGGAAGAATGTTGTAATCCCCTTTGAGTCCCCACTGGGGAGAAAAGTGGGGCATAAATGAAGTTAATAAATATAGTTCAATCAAGCTGGAGAGAAAAGTGGGGTATAAATGAAGTTAACAAATATAGTTCAATCAAGCTGCCAAGAAGCTCAACTGGGGCCAGTCCTTCTCTTAGCCTAACCTACCATACAGGGTTGTTGTGAGGACAGAACAGATAACCACATATGCTATCCTAAACTCTTGGGGGCATAAGAACATAGTAAATTAATATTGCATGTACATAGGTCGCAATGGGTGAGTACAAACAACCCTATTCTGTTGAGTGAGAAGCAATGGTCCCTCTAAGCTGTGGAGTCTTGTGAGCAAAAATTCTACTTTGTGAGTTACTGGCATTAAAGTTGTGAGTGAGCAATTTGGCTACTGTGTAAATTAGTTTGCTCTGGAGCTGTCCTTCCTGAGCTAAGACAAAAATGTGTGAGCCAGAGGCTAAAAAACTGTGAGCTAGCTCACACTAACTCATCTTAGAGGGAACACTGGTGAGGAGTCTTCCTCCACTAAGCCAAGGTATCTCACTTGGCAGAAAAGAGTTGCAGATTATCTATTTTTTCAATATCAGGTACAATACTCTGTCCTATTTGTAACAGCAATATAAAAGCTACACTGCAAAGTAAAATACAGAATCAAACAGAAATGAACACACAGTATTAAGTGAGCAAAACAGCAGGCATTGAGAAATTTATCCTCTGGCTGGTTAAGAACGCATGGGCAAAAAAGGGTTTTGAGTAGGAGAAAGATAACAGGAACAAATGGTTTTGAGTAAACAATGTTTGTGTACAGAAGCATTTTGCTTTGTTGCCAGCAGAGCTGGTCAGGCAAGCTACAGCATGAATTTCAAATCTGATAACCCACAGAAACCGAGATTAAGATACCGAGAAAGGCTTGAGTAATTCCATCCATGGAAAGCAACTTTCTTATCTCCTCACTCCAGCCCCAAAATATTCCTGAAATAGTCTCGTCAGGGAGAGAGGTCCCTTGGAACAACATCTGGGGGGATATTTGGGGCCACGGTGGGAAGGAAGAAATTTTCACTCCATAGGTAGAAATTCTTTTGCCCACAGAATCATTCCAGGAGATCCAAGCCAAGGAGGAGGTGGAAAAGGTGGAAAGAAGACATGCGACATATTCCTAAGTCTCCTGACTGGGGGGGGGGGGGGGGAGAGAAGTATAGGAAAAAGAAGTATTTTGAGTTATTTTTTTTTCCTTTTTGTGTGTTACACAGTAAGGCAGTTGCTAATTCATGATCTCCACATACATCGTAAACTCTTGTATCTTCTTCCACAGGAGAAATTCCAAATGCTTCCCTTCTGACTACACAGGAAGTGCAAAAAAAAGGAAGCTCTTATGCTGACACCTGTTCACCATGCTGGATCCCAAATCATTTGTATAAGGTTGCACTGCCTACTAAATGAGCACAAAGGTCTTTAAAGGAAGTGCGCAGTGATACTGGACACACAAGAAGCTGCCTTACACTGAGTCAAACAAATAGTTCATCAAGGGTAGTACTATCTACTCAGACTGCTAGCAGCTCTTCAACATCTTAGGCAGGAGTCTTTCACATCACCTGATACTAAATCCTGTAACTGGAGATGGAGATTGAAACTGGGACCTTCTAGGCATCAAGCAGATGCTCTACCACAGAGCCATGGGTCCACCCCATGATGACAACTTTCATTTCATTTAATTGCCTGCCTTTCTTCTATCACAGGACTTAGAATGGTAAACAGAGGCTTCCCAGGAGGTCCTCCATCCAGGCAGTAACCAGATGCCAACCTTCTTAGGTTCAGCAAGGTTACTGCATCATATGGCTTCCAACCGTACCAGGGGACTTCACAGAGCTAGAATTAATTGCCAATGCCAAGGCAGTACTACTGAGAGGAGTGTATTCAGCTTTCTCACAGCAGCAAATCAGGATGCTAATGAAGGGAGGGGGGAATGCTCCTTCCTTCAGATGGGAAGTGGGATAACATAAATCTCTGAAGAAGTTTTATTCTTTCAAAAAGATAGCTAGCGATCTGGGGAAAAGAAACCTAGCCTAGGACTACATGAAAAGCATGTTAAAACCGAAAATTAATTAGGGCTCCGAGAAACGTGATATCCGGGAACCAATTAACGGGATGTAAACTCACTTTATTAAAACGGAAACCAACTTTTGTCTAGTGCCTGAAGAACGATCAGGTCTGACAGCATATTTGTATCATTTCCTAAAAGGCTGAAAGTTCTTTGAAAAATATATCAGTCACTTTCCCCTCCGCTGCTGATCAAACCTGCCCAGTAAAATGTTCTGAGCTGGCAAGTTGTAATACAGCCATGGTTTATTTCTGTCAGAGGTTGACTGCTGAAGTGTGAAAGAAACTCATTAAAAACTCACTGTGATCCTGCAAGGGAATGAAAGAGGGGGAAAAGAAAATACTTAATGAAGGGTCCCCTCAGCCTGAAGCTACATTCATATTCAGTGCATTTTTTTCCTCCACCCTTCTGTTTTAGTAAGCAATTAAAAGACAGCAATTAGTCACAGGAACACTATTGCTGCTGGTCACATTGGGAGACTGACTTTGTTAACACTTTTTTGTCTCCCCTGCTAATATCATGAAAGTTGAATGAAGGGAGGGAGAAATGACAGAGCTGACAAAAAGGGGGATTATGAAAATAAATAGATGACGTTTCTTACCTTAATCTTAAAACAAGATTCACAGCACATGGAGCATCACTATATTCGTTGCAAACAGCTGTTCGAGTCTGCTTTTTTTTTAAAAAAAAAAGGAAGGAAGCAGTACACACTAGTTAGAGATGCAACACGTCATTGTTAAAGCAATAACCATAAACTGACAAAGTATCATTCTTGAAAGGTTATTCTCTGTAAGATTAGTGAAGTTCTTCAGAATCAAGCAGAGTAACTTAAAACACAAATGCAGAAGTAGTATAAAAATCAAGTCAGTAATAGGGACAACACTTTCAGAGACACTGGGCAGCTAAACCTGATTCACAGAGGGTATATAGACACCTATATATTTTACTCAGGGCCTTTTTTGCTGGGGGGAAGAGCCCTGATTTTACTGTTTGGGTAGTTCCATCCATTTGCTTTACAGGTAACATCCCTGCTCCATGTTCTCCAAGTCACAGCTGAATATAGTGATATGAACTATGCAGCCAACTGGTTTAACAAGAGCAGTGAATTGGAGAAGAATCCTAATACATTTGGCATTGTTCGTATTGCAATTGCAAAAAAAAAAATTACAAAGAACCAATTGCTCCAAAATCACCATGGCTAGCTGTGTCTGCCAGTGAGGGGACAGGGGAAGATAATAAGCAGGAAGACGTCCATACCGCTGCCCATTTTTCTCAACATCATTTCTCACAAACCAACTTCACGAGGTTAGATTTGAGTCCAGTAGCACCTTAGAGACCAAAAAGATTTTTTGCTTACAAGATTCTGAGATTCAAAACTCGAAAGCTTATTCCCCACCTCCCCCAAAATCTTGTTGGTCTCAAAGATGCTACTGGACTCAAATTTACCCTCTGAAACTAGCTTCTCAAGGTTAATCTGCATAGTGATCTGGGTTAAGTGCTGAAGGGTGCATGCTGTGCCATGTATAATCACAGAACAGGTTAGTTGGCAGCATGGTAAATAGCGGCTTAAGTAGCAAGCTAGGGGTTCTGTCAAAAGCTAGCACAAGACCCCTACACTATGTCAAGCTATGCCTCGGTCCACTCAGTCCACGATTATGGAAGGCAGCCCTTAGATCTGCAGACATGCTCCCACACATGTACCTGAGAACCTTGTAGAGACAGATTCTGTATTTGATCAGGGATGTTTCCGGAATTCATAGAAATCTGTTAAAAGAAAGCATGAAACATCTTAAATTGTTTTATAATACAAGAGCCATGACTTCAAGGAAGAACTGTTTTGTGAATGACAATCACTAGGCCTAAAGCACACTAATAAAACTTAGCAAGCACTCATTTTCCACATGTTTCTACAGTTCTGTTACAACTCCCTACCCAGAGAAGACCCATTAGTGTTCACCCATCAAGGCATTCTGTTTTCCTTACTCTCAATTCAGAAAAAGACTGACTTTATAAAATAAAATAAAAAAGCCTTACATTGTGCATTACAGGTTAATATGGAGGTTGTGAATTACTTTTTATTTACTTCAAGAAGGGTAGTATAAGTGTCCTCCCTAAAAAGAAACCTTCTTAAAGATGACTCATCCAGAAAAAATGGAGAGTACTCTAAATTTCACAATAAAGGGACACTGTTTATCTACTACCTTTCCCCCCCCCAAGACAGCCTTTTCATAGGTTTTGCCAGTGTTCTATGTATTATGGTCCCATTCTATAAAATTATAAAACAAATCTAGAACTACAAAAACGTAGCTAACGTTTTCAGAGAGACACTATACAAAACAGTCCACATCTTCAACACATGACAGAAGTCAATGTGGTCACTTACCTCAGTGTTCTCCTCTTTTACTCTTCGTGACTAGAAGACAAGAATCAGTAATTACAATCTGCATACTAATAGGTAGCAAAAAAAATTAAAAAATGGTTACGTGAGAGAGAATAAATCGTTGCATGCTTTCCAAAAAAATTACCTTTTCTTGGGTAAAAGCGGCTTTGCCTTCTTCACTCTTTTCATCCATTTCATCATCACTCCACTCCCAGTCTCCGTCTTCTGTCTTGTGGAGGTGGCCGCTGGAACCGGGTACTCTTCTAACCTAACAAAATCACAGCAGCAACAACAACAAAGGATTTTTTATTATACATTTTCCTTCTGAACAGTCTTTGTTTTTTCGCTATGTGAAAAGTAAAGCCAACTAAATGCATTCCTCATTACCTCACAGGCTCTTTCCACGGGTTACAACACTGATTTATTCTGCCCAGACTACCAGAGCACAAATTCCTAGCATCTTCAACATTCTAGTTCCAGGCCATTAAAATAAATTTTAAAGTAGTCAAGAAAAAGCTGTGCAAGTCACTGCTGCTGGAAACTCAGAGATGTACTATGTCAGCATATTACCACCACCATCACTCACCCACTCTGGGCATATCTAGCCCACAGAACCTTTTTTATCATACCTTCAACCTGCTGAACAATTTGTTGGGAGTCACCAACCTACTAGACCACAGCACTGGCTGGTGGGCTGATACTTCAGGAAAATGGTTGAACCACTTGAGAGCTAAGGGCCATTCAGAAGCATTAAGAATGAGAGAAATGAGAGAAAATCTGGATCTCCGGCTAATTTTGAAGTCATCAAGTTGGATACTACCTCTTCCATTTTTCAGTACTGGATATGCAACAGAAATCAGCATTTACTCATCTGACACAAGCCACCTTGTCTTTTTCCAAGCCTAACGTTCACTGTTCTGGTAACAGTGTACACAAAATGATTTCACTCCTGTTTTATGTAGCTTGTACAAGAGTGTCCAAATCTTAGCTGAAGAAAATCAGAGCCACTGGAGAACTGTCCACTTAATCCCCACCCAATTATCCCAGGAAACTAACAAAATGGAGTGATCAACTATATCAAAAGTTATAGATAACTGTAATAGATCTAAAAGAGAAGAATTACTCTAATCAAGTTGTAAACCAAGATCTCCTATCACAACAACCAAAATGGTCTTCATTCCAGAACCAGGTCTGAAGTCATGAACAGATTTATCATCCAGTTACTCTTGCAGTTGTTCTATACTATGCTTGATCACCTTACCCAAGAAAGGTAGTTTTTTTAAGCAGTAGCTTGCTCATAGCATACTTAAGAAGTTTTAGGAAAACTCTCCCCACTAATCTACTGCTACCAGACTCGAATCTTGCTTTTCTACTGCATTCCAACATGGCCACCACCTGAAATGATCTCCCCACTAAGCACACGATCACAATTTTAGCAAAGGGAACTCTCCCCCTGCATGACTTCACTAATTAGGAACTGCAAGTAACCTGTCAACAAGGATGTTCTCTGCATCAGTCAGACAGACTACCCTAAGCCTGTCTATAGAATTCTGACTAATGGATGCTCCCAACATTTCTTGATCAGGATCTACCTCCAGCCTGGCATCCAGGGCAGACCAGATGAGAGAGATTTTGTCAGCCAAAAAATCTCACCAAATCACCACAGCTAATGGCTGCATGACATTTGACAAGAAGGGTCAGATCTAGGTGTTAAAACATTACAAGATTTGGTATGGCAGAATTGACAGTACCACTTCATATTGCAGAAGTAGATCATATTTTGAAATGTTTCCTGTGTTAAAAATTTTCTGCAGTCAGACAACTAGCATAGCAGAAGGAGCAGAACCTGTCTTCTTGCCATGTTTGTTTTCTATTTGAAGGAGGTATTTTTAATGCAAAGCCGGAATCCACCACCTGCAATCTGAAATGGTACAGTCCATTCTGTCATTTCAGGTTTCTACTACTTCATCCTTCTGCATGTGTGAATGAAGCATCCTCTGCTCTAGCTCATTGCTTATTCCTCAGAACCTATTAATCCTCTGGCTGTTGACAATCTGCCCAGCACTATTTCATCCTACACAGAATTGCATCCCTCTTAGCCTTCTAACGTCAGTGGACTTAGAAGGGCATAATAGTTTTGCCTAGCATTGCACTGTAGATCACCAGAATCTCTTCAAGGGTTAATCTACTGTTCCCATGCTGGTAATTAATCTTGTTATCTTTTGTTTCTTCACAACAAATACACAGAAAGAAATTCAGCTTGAAGCATTTCTTAAATATTTCTGGAATTTATTCAGAAATTAAAAAACAAGTTCCAAAATGACTTCTCTGTTCGCTTCCACATTTCCACCGAAGTTATCTGTAAACTGAACAAAATTTCATACAGATAATGAACATGGAATATGAGAAAATGAAGACCACAAGAGGATAATAAAAGCTTATTCAACACTGCTTGGACCTTTTCAGATAAGTTTGTAACTCTATAAACTGCAGCACATGGTGTACAATGTTTAAACAGATTTATTCATGCAAAAAAAGGCACATGAAAAACACACTACTGATGGTGAATGCATGGAGATACAGGAGGGTGACACAATGTACCCAGGCAATCTTGTTTTCCCCCTCCACATCTTTTCAAGTATCAAAACTGCCCCCTCACAGCTGTTTTAGCACTTGAAAAGACACACTGAGGGGAACAAGTTAGTCTGATCCTGCTGCTCCGTGGGCCCAATCAGGATTAGGCCCTCATGGCATGTTTAAATAGCCAAAATCTTCTCTAAAATGCCACTGGAAGTCATGGGTCAGACCCATGGCCACCATAATGTCTACTTCGACCCTTAGCCTGCTCAAACCTAGCCCAACACAAGGCGGCTCTTGATGATTCTCGATAAGACATGCACAAAAGTCACATCAGGAAGAACACTGCTCAACATCTAGACACACCAGGTCTTTAATTTAATTAGTCAAAATTATCAAAAATAACCACAATATTTTCCCAAAAATTGGATTCTTAATAATACAACTCAGGTTCACTACTTTTAATTCTACTTCCACCAGCCATAGAGATAACTGGTTTAGTCTCTGGTTTCTAGCCAACTGAAATCTATAGTTGGTTAAGAACTAGGAATATGTTCTTGTTGTGTCATATATTTTCATCATGGGTTTTCATTTCACTCATTTTAATTGCCAGTGTTCTTGGTTTGTTTCTTTCACAGCATTTATATGCAACCGGTACCAATTTTAATGGTAATATCTCTGTTGAATTGTATTAGTACGGTCAGGGCAAGAAAGAGACACTATGGTTTGCCATACGTGAAGAGAACCCATGACAGAAACAAGAATTCACTAAGGACTAAGAACTTAAAAGAGGCCAAAGGCACTACTAGAAAAAAAATACTTGGAAGAGTCAGTGGACATACTCTCTTTGTACATATAGATGAGTGAGATATTTTGAGTCTATGATGACAGATATGCCCACACAGCCATCCACTTCCAAAGTTGAACACACTGAGTTCTTCAGGATCTGCGATTTTTTAAAAAATCATCTTTGCTGCTCTTTTCTGAAGGATGTAGAGTATCCCACCATTATTAAATCACCCCGTGTTTGGACTAAAGTTGATCATGATATACTAGCACTTAAAAAACACAGATAGGACACAAAGGTGCTTAGCATAACCCACCTGCTTACATAAGCATCATTTGGCTTGACCTACTGCTCCTTTCAGCGCAAGGCCTTGAAGTGACAGCCAACTTCCCTTCTCCCTTGACAACAATCAAGCATTTTTCCCACATCCCCTCCCCTTTAATTGGGAAACCTGAACAAAATTTAAAAATTCTCGAATGTTTTATTTGGGATGTTTGGGATGATATCTCTAGGGTGGACCTCAAAAATACTGTTTGCATGTGAATCAACACTAAATGTAAGCCACAAGTATAAATGTTATGAAGCCCTCTTAAAACAAATACCTTGCCACCACTGTAGGCCATGATGTCCACACTGTCAGACCAAGATATCCTACCAGAGTAACATGGGGAAACCCCATGTTTGGTACTGTGGAATACCAAAATGGAATCAGGAAGGAGGACAGGGCACTGTTGTGGAAATGAATATATGGAAAGGTCCCAGTACAGCCTTTCTGGAGGTTAGAACAAGATGTAGTGAGGTGTTTTCTTCTACCTTGAGCGACAGCTCAAGGCAAACCAAGGAATCTACAGGCTACAACTGACTATTGTATCTTAAGACAGAAATGGAGGACAACAAGTGAAATATCGGTACCTTTAAGACATGCGCTTCAGTGGCCGCCACTAGTGCCGCCACTAGTGCAGATACCATTTTTCTTTCTCCAAGAACTACCACAAGATAATATCTCATGGTTGTTATGCAACCGTCCTATGCTTTTTCTTCCGGCCTGAAGCTAAACAGCCACTATAATAGCTGTTACAGGACCAAACAGAAAGCACCACTGGTTGCTAGCAGCTGCAGAAAATGGAAGGTGCAACAGATCCATTTCAACAAGAACACTGATGCATGATGCCTTAGGAACTGCAGCATCCAATCGCACACCCTAGGACCAGCTCTGGAAAGCTGCCATCCTTGGCTCTGTTCTTTGTTTTAGGAAATCAGAAATAGTACATGTCGTATCATACCATGCATCAGAAGTAGCATCACTCTGACAAGAGGTGGAGGGGGGAGAGTTTCTAATTTGGGCTCTATTATCTGCCAATAACAAAAGGCCATTCCTAGCAGGAATGGCGAACTTATTTGTAACTTTTAACTAATAATGGCAACAAAGAGGACCTTCAGTCTTACAAAGACAAATTAACACATATTAAAAGACACGTTTCACATGGATCACAAGAGTGTACAGGTGATTAAAAAAAACATTGAATCTGAATGGCTGACATTTAAACTGTACCTCGCACAAAAGCAGTGCAGCACATTGTAATCTGCAGCAGAAAGCTGTTCCCAGGAAAGGGAGAAAAATTAACAAGCTGCTGCCAACACTGCCGCAGCTGTGGAGGAAGACAATATGAATGTCAGCTGGGAAGGGAGAATGCAGGACAAATTAGAGGGTAGAAAAAAGCCCACAATGACAGAAAATGGCAAAAAGCAAATTACCCATCGGGGGGAAAAAAAACCCACATCCAGTTTCCACTGTGACTGGATATGTTGTGTGGTCTTTGTTTTCCGGTCAGCATTGAAGCTATTTGTGTCAGAAGATGCCAGGAACTGCTAGGCCATTTTTAAAACTTCAATGGGGGATTAAT